ATCGAGAAGATTGACAGGGCAGCTTTCAAAGGGGTGGCTGCCGGACTGCGGACCCTTGACCTCTCTGGTAACCGCATCCGCAGTGTCCCCAAAGAGGCCTTGCTGGCTCTCAATGCCAAGCTCCGGTTGGCCAACAACCCCTGGCACTGCGAGTGTGCCTTGCAGGAGGTGTTGTGGGAGGCACAGCTGGACCCCGACTCCGCCCAGGACATCACCTGCCACACGGCCCCACGCGAGGAGTACGTGGGCAAGCCCCTGCTCCAAGTCCTGGATGCCGGTGTCAACTTCTGCAGCGTGCATCAGAGGACCACAGACGTGGCCATGTTCATCACCATGTTTGGCTGGTTCACCATGGTCATCGTCTACGTGATCTGCTATGTCCGGCACAATCGAGAGGACACCTACAAGCACGTGGGTTACCAGAAGTCACTGCCGAGCACCCAGGACCATGCAGAGACCACCAGCACCGCCCTGTAGTGCAGGATTGGCGTGCGTTGTGCCCTGATTCTTTGCAGGAAGCCAGTGGTAACCTGGTGGCCTCCAAAGCTTCTCTATGGGATTTTCCAGCACTTGCTCTGGTCCTGCAAACCGACTTTGCTCCTCCTCTGCAACACTGGACTGAGCGTGAGGAAAGGACATGGGGGAGGGATGCTGGGGACACCCCATGCAGACCTGTCTGTGGAGCCCATGGGGGAGGAACCCTCCACGCAGACCCCTTCTCCCCTGCCAGAGCTGGGCTTGCAGGGAAAGCAGCCCCAGCCACATGCTCATGGTCCATGTGGTTTGGAGAAAACAAGCCCTTGGAGAGGCAGATGAGGGTGGGGGCTTTTGTGAGGCCAAGAGGTCCCTGGAGCCTGGGGGTGTGGAGGGATGGGTCACTTGGTGCAGTGCGGTCACCCTGTCCTGTGTCCAGTGAGGGACTGGCCTTGCAGAAAGCAGGACGTCAGCCCCAACCTGGCATCTCAGCAGCCTCTGCCTGCCACCAGCAACCCGGGGGTGATCTCCCATACCTTTGACTTCTCAATAAATCCCCATATTCAGGAAAAGCCCTCAGGGTTTGCGCTGTAATGGGAGCTGGGCAGCCAGGGAGGGTGGTGGTGCTCAAGGGGGTTGTGCTTGTCCTAATTCAATCTCTCCCAAAGCAGATGAGCCTAAATTCAATGTACCAGCTCATCTCCTATTAGTTACATCCCCTCCATCCTCACCCAAGCCTGCCTCAAGCAGGGACCAGCCAGCCAAATGGTTCCTCTGCATCTCATCTGGTACATCTGGCCTTATTTTGCCTTTCCTCGGGGCCAAATCAGAGATGCTGCTGGTGGCTCAGTGCGATGGAAGCAAATTGAATTCTGTCTTGTTTCATGAGCAAGAAATGGTCCTTCCTGGCAGAGCCAGCTGCAGCTGCGGCTGGGCTGGGGGAGGAGGGAGGTCTGGAGGGGCCACCTCCTCCTTACAGGCCATGGACATGGCTGTGTCTCACTCAGGGGTGGCTTGTTGAGTGGAGGGAAGCCTCTGCCATGGACAGAGCAGCTCAGGTACCTGTAGCTTGCATATGAGATGAAGACTGGTTGCCCACAATTTATTAGAGCTCTGGTGAAGCAAAAGAGTCCCCCAGACAAAGGCAAGGAAAAGGAAAGAGGCCACAGTTTCACCTGGAGCAGGTTGTGGTCTTTCCTATGCCCACAGTAGCAGGGTTGGTCCCAATGCACAGCAGGTTTGCTTGGGAGTTGCTAACCTCATGCAAAGGCGTGCAAGGACCAGCATGGGTCCTTGGACGCCACTCTGGATTAGTACAACATACACATGTCACTTGGTGAGGACGACCAAAACTAACCACTGCAGAGTGGGAGGGTAGGCAGGCACCCGCGGCAGCAGGACAGAGTGGCAAGGCCATCAAAGATGGACATGAAGCATGGTGTGCAATGTGGAAACAGATGGGTCCTCAGCAGCATTGCTGAGAGCCAGATCCAAGCCCAAAGCCACCTTTTTCCCCAGTTTCTCACATGCCATCTTCTCCCCACTGCCACGCACCCACCCCAGCAGCACACACTCTGCTCAGTCTCTTTCTTCTGTGGCTTTGCACGAGCTCTGCTGGAAGCAACCAATGGCAGCTCTGGGTCCCTTCTGGCTGGAGACTGCCAAGCACCGGGGTCCCAGCGAGCCTGGAGAAGCACCTAGGCTCCAGGCACCCTGGGTAAGATGTGGCTCTGGATCATGGCAGGAGAGCTTGCCCAGGAGAAACAGCCCAAAAGCAGGTCACAGCCCCTTTGCCAGCCCCTGGACATGGTTGCAGGGAGCCACAAAGCTCCCCTCCTCCTCCCATCCTGTGGAGCACGCAACCAGCCGGCCTCAGGGCTGATGATGCAGCTGTCCATCTGCTTTGTGGTCCATCTTCACCTCAATGCCCAGCTCACCCCAATCCTGGCGATGAGCTGAGCATGTCTCAGCCATCTCAAGTGGTTTTCAGCTTGAGCACCTTGGAAAGCGGCTCCTTGGCACTGGAGTAGAGGAGGTAGGAGCCCTCTGCGGTGTGAAACGCCTCCCAGTCTCTACAGCCAACGGTGGGGAGGTGATGAGCTGCTACGAAGCCTTCATAGCCTTGCCACCTGCATGGGGAGGGCAGTTAGCTCTTGGGGCACAGGCTGGGCACATGAAAGGGGGTAGGAGAGCGAAGCCATGGGGCTGGCATCTCCCACCTCCCCGCTGATTCAAGGTGGGATGTCCTTCATTGGGGCTTCTCATTCCTGCCCAGAAACCTCTCCAGAAACAGAGAGCAGTCCTGTCTATCCTCTCTGGGAAGATGCTCCTCCATGCTGGGCTCCTGGCAAGGTTGTTCCTACTGGGGACAACCACCCAACCCTGCCCCCCTCCCATAGTAGTACCTGTAGATAATACTGTTGACAGAGAAGGTGAAGCCATCAAAGGAGTTTGCTACCACCAGAAAAGAGTCATCTCCCACCGAGAAGAACTCCCAGTCCAGGGCACTGGGGATGAAGGAAGCAGAGGAGCAGGTGAGGTGGCCCCTCTGTGGCCACCCAAGGAAGGGGCTGTGTATCCATGGGGCTGAGCCCACACCCCAATCTCTGCCACCCTGACAATACACAGGAAACCCTACTTTTCCCATGTTGGTCCTGGAAAGAAACCCCAGAGGGGAAATCCACCCTTGTTCACAAATCCAGGGCCTTCTCCTAGCTCCCACTGGAATTCAGTGCCAAGGACCTGTCACCCATCATGCTCCCCACCATTCTCAGTCCCTGGCAGCATGCAAGCCTGCATGAATCCACCAGGAGACCTCCAGGTTGCTCAGGGGAAGGACATGGACTGAGGAGCACCCTGACTCTTTGCACAGGTACCTGTAGGTGAGGATGTCCTGGAATTTGACAAACATCTGGGCTGTGATGTTCAGCTCATAGATGGAGGAGTTGATGGTGTAAAAGTTAGAGGGTGCCAGCATCCCGCTGTCATAGCTGTGGCTGTTTGCAACAGCCAGGAAGACTCTGTCCCCAATACGAAAGACCTCCCAGTCAGCAGCTCCAAAAGTCTGTGGGGAAGGAAGCTACAGGAGAAGCTGGACGTGGACAAGCCTTTGCAAGCCAAAGATGCTGTGAGGTCTGGGGGGACTTGGTGGAGGTGCAGCGGGGAGGTTACCCACTCCTAAAATCCTCCAAGGAAAACAATAAACTTCACTTGGTCAGTCCCAAGGGGACAATCAGTGGGAAACCATCACTAACTTTCCAGACGACTGAAGAGCATCTGCCTCTGGCATTATTTCCTGGCTTATCTAAACCCAGAGGAGGGATCAAGGAGTAGAGTTTGACCAGTGGTCAAACCTTACCAGAATAGACTGGAAGAGCTGGAAAGAGCCACTGAGCCAGATGTAGATGTGTGAGTAGATCTTAGTGGATGTGCCATTGAAGGTGTTAGCCACAGCCAGGAAGGAATACGGCCCGATGGTGAAAAATTCCCAGTCATAGGCTCCAGAGGTAGGGATGGTCTGGTTGGTTTCAAACAAGCCTGTCCTGGGGTTCCATCTGTATATCACGCTGTCTACGTTGTGGTTATTCCCTGGGGGAGACAGATAGACAGACATGCACCATGAGGAAAAGGAATACCTGGTTCACATCAGAAACAACAGCCCAAAACAGGTTCAGCTATGCAAATATTTGCCAGCAGGTTGCAAAGCTGTTTGCTAGTGACCAATTGCTCCCCAAGAAGTAGCCAGAGATGCTAGAGCCTCCATCCCCACCTACAGCCTTCCCCCCCACCTGAGCCTCCATCCCCACCTACAGCCTTCCCCCCCACCTGAGCCTCCATCCCCACCTACAGCCTTCCCCCCCACCTGAGCCTCCATCCCCACCTACAGCCTTCCCCCCCACCTGAGCCTCCATCCCCACCTAGCACCTCCATCCCCACCTAGAGCCTTCATCCCCACCTAGAGCCTCCATCCCCACCTAGCACCTCCATCCCCACCTAGAGCCTTCATCCCCACCTAGTGCCTCCATCCTCACCTAGAGCCTCCATCCCCACCTAGTGCCTTCATCCCTACCTAGAACCTTCATCCCCACCTAGCGCCTCCATCCCCACCTAGAGCCTCCATTCCCACCTACAGCCTTCCTCCCCACCTGAGCCTTCATCCCCACCTAGTGCCTCCATCCTCACCTAGAGCCTCCATCCCCACCTAGTGCCTTCATCCCCACCTAGAGCCTTCATCCCCATTGAACACACTGTTAGCTTGTTCCCAAGTGCACAGTGGTGACTTCGTGGCAGCCCCTGGGGGAGGAGGGAAGGAAGGCTGCTGTCTCCCCCCCCGGAAGCACCGTGCCAGAGTCCCAGGGTGGCCAATGGACAGTCCCAGCGGCACAAGCTTGCACATCTGGGAGAGGGCCACAGCCGGAACAGCACTGTACTGACGTTTTTCAGTGCTCATTTGCTACATCCCCGAGCTCCTGTATGCTGGACCTGGCCAGGGACCTCCATGTGCTGATCATACCACATGGATGCCACAGGAACATGCCACAGCCCACAGCCTGCCCTGTCCTGAGCATTACCAAAGCATTTGCTCCATCTAGCTCCTGGGCTCTAGTCAAGCATCTTGACCTCCCGTCCGTGTGGAACCCAGCTGGCTTTAAAGCTAAAAACCTTCCTGCACCTTCAGCCTGGCATGACCCCTCCAGCCAGAGCTGTTCTAATAATGATCTGTCTTCTTCTGGACATGGAGGAGCCCCACCAGCCCCTTTCCACCCCAGATTCAGAAAGCACTGCTGTACTTGGCTTGGCCCCACTGGTGTTTCTGGTGGCTGAGCAGCAGCAGGACCACGCGTTAACAGGTTTATGGGCAATCTTCATGGCAATGGAAGAGACTTTGGCAAGAAGAGCTTCAGGGAGAACAGGATGTGTGGGAAATGGCCACAAGGAAAAGTGGCATCTCCTCAGGGACTGACCCTCCACCACTTGCTAAGGGAAACATCCCCAGTTTGGCTTGGCCATGATGGTCTTAGCCCCCGCATGATGTGCAACGGCCCCTGAAGCACCTTTCTGCTGCCACTGCCATGGAAATAAGTCTAGTCCAAACTGGCCATGGAGGGGTCCAAGAGGTGACATGGGTTGTTTCTAGCCCAGCTTCCAGGCAGGTGGTGCCCAAGTAACCTGCCTCTGGCTTTGAGCCTGGTGCCAGAGGAGCTGATGTCCCAGGAGCCAGCCCCGATGGCAGGGGAGGAGCCTTCCAGCCCAGCTGGGACCATCCTGGAGAGTCAAGGCTGTGGTATCAACCCATTCATCCCCATGCTGAGGGGTGCACACCCCAACCCAGAACATCTCCTGGTCTGGAGGGTAATGAGGCTGGATCATATCTGCAGGGTGCCCAGGCAGGGTGGGACACCAGCAGGCTCACACTCAGCTTCCTCTGAGCGCCCAAGGTCAATGCTTTGGCTTCTCAAAAGTCTCGACCTCTGCAAACCCAGGCAGCTGCCCTCACCACCCCACCATGTTATGTATCATCGGGGAAACAAAGGAAAAGAAGGAGAGACATTCAGCGAAGACACTGTCCCCACTCCTGTCCTTGTCCCCCACCATTAGAAACCCAGAGGGGGACCACATCAGCCACTCCCCCAAGTGCTTTTCTCTTCTAAAATGAGAGGGTCTGCAAGGCTTCGGGCTTCCCGAGGGACATCATGCTCTGAGCTCCGTGCAGGGACTCCCTGGCTTTGCCTCACGCACCGGGAGAGGATGCACAGGGAGCTGCAGCATTGCCACATGCTCTGGAGCAGGGTGCCTGCGGTGAGGTGCTGTGGTCCCCAGCATCACCCCAGGGTCACCTGCCCCAGCTGAACCGGGTCGGTAGGGAACGTAAGGGCTGGGTACCTTCTCTGTGGTTGACCACTGCGAGGAAAGCCTCTCCCTCAATGACAAATGCCTCCCAGTCCCTAGCGCTGTGCGTGGTGATCCTCTGGTAGGTGACAAATTTCTCTTTCCTGTGGCTCCACTTGTATATAACCGAGAACTCCTGACCCCTGTCATTCTGCTCAAAATTAGCCACTGCCAGGAAGATCTGAAAAATAACAAGCCAGGACATCTTGGTTTTCTCCTCTCAAAAGGACGTGGACAAGCATGAGCAGGGTGAAGATGGGATGGATGGAGCTGGGCACCCATGGGATGTGGGGCCAGGGACTGAGGTGACCAACAGTCCTGGCTGGCATGGGTCCCCTAGCACCCCCAGGCAGCACAGTGCACCCAAAATGGGGACAGGGAGAACGTGGTGGCTCATGGAAGCTGGGGCAGGAGCTACCAAACTTTCCCTGTAAGAAAAGCTTGTGCAGAAGAAAAAATCACAAATATCATAATGATAACAATGATTCCCTGAGATAAAGCATTTTCCAGACCAAGAAGAACCCCCCTGCAAGCATCAGGGACAAGCATGCAGCAGCAGAGATGGCCTCATGCAAGACCATCCAAGGCATCCTTGCACAAGGCACATCCAAGCTCACTGGAGTGCGTGGTGTGGCACGCTGGTGGGTTCCATATGGAGTGACAGAGGTTATGTCCCAGTTTGGGCCACAAGGAAGCACAGGGACACAGCCCACAAGCAGAAAACAGTCAGTGGGGATGGTCTCCTGCCCAGTGCAGGACCCTGCCAGCACCAGCCTGGGGCTTTTTCCGGCCAAGGCTCAGCCACTTCCAAGGATGGAGACCTTCCCCCCTCAGTGGTGGTCTGTCCTGGGCCCATACATCCCCCCAGGGAAGGTGCAGCCCCAGTCCAGGGAGTCCCTTCAGAGCATCTCCAGAAACAGCTTCAGAGGGAAGAGAAAGTCCTGGATCCAACCCAGCGAGTCAGGAGCCTGTGGTCCTTTGCTCTCCATTCACACTGCCCCCTGAGGCTCTTCACCTCATCCCAGCAGAGCATCAGCAGGTCCTGGTGCAGTAACGAGGTGCTGACACCTACAGAGGTGCATCCCACCTGCAACGTGCATCAGGAACCTGGGGTAACTGGAGAGGTGTGTGCCATTCCCAGTGCAACACCTATCTGGTCATCATCTCCATGCAGAAACATTCCAAGCATGGGTAGTTGCCTCTGTCCCGAGCCATTCTGGAGCTCCAAGGCCAACCCCAACTAGAAAACCCATCCCAGACTGGGCAGGAGAGAGGCTATCCTGCCTAGTAAGCCTGAGGAAGTTTATCTTGGTGAAGACTTGAAGGCAAACCCAGAGCACATGAGCCTTGGTGAGCACCAGCATGGGTACTTTGCTGTGCAGGAACCACAGGGAGCTGGGACCCCACCACCCTCGTGGTCTTCTCTGTCCTCCCAGCTACCGCTACAGGGAGGTGTTGAGGGTCCAGACTAGCACTGGGGAGTCTCAGGGTGGTTCCCATCAGCAGATGAATCCAGCCAGCAATGTTCCCATCTCCTTCCCACAAGGATGCAGCCAGAGTTTTGTGGAGCAGACACAGAGCTGGGGGTGGCAGGAATGTTCCCAGGCCAAAGCCAGCTCCGCCACACAGCTTGACCAGGTTTTGGGGCTTGACCAGGTTTTCTGCAGGTTCCTAAAGGGGGACTTGGCAAATTTGTATCCAAACGGCAGGGCTGTCAGTGCCACCAAGCCTGGAGGTAGGTCTTCTGCCCATTCCTCTCTACCCTGGAGCATGGGGGAGCCCTGCAGCCACCCTGTGTGGTGTCCAGCAGAAGTGTAGTGACAAAGCCAGAAGGGGTCATGCTGGAAGGAAAAATGATCCAAACTCCCCTGGGAGCTCTGCACAGAGCTGGCTCTCAGCAGATGTTTGTTTGGCTGTACCAGAGCTCCTTGCAATGTGACAAGTAGGTCTGCAAGGAGAGGAACCAGGCAGACACCTTGCAGAAGTCCCATGGCAGTTTGCCCAGGGGAGGAGAGAGGGCTCCAAAGTCCTGGAATGATTTAAAAGCAAGAGGGCTTAAAAATGCAGAAGGTTGGACTCAGTGGGTCTCTGGGAGGGAGCTACGGGCTCTGATGGCTCTGTAAGACCTCAGGTAGACCTCTGAGATGAGAGGAGACCTTAGGTAAGGCAGGACACCTGCCACAGTCAGCTGCGTGTCCCCGAGAGCAATGCCACAGCCACTGCCTGGGGTGACTCCTGCCTCGCTTCACCATGTCTGCTGGGAACCGCAGCAAAGCCGGCTTCCCAGGGGGGCCAGGCTTTGTGCCGGGGTGGAGGCTGCACTGCGAGCACACCCAGACCCAGCTGGATCCCAGCTCTGCACCAAGGATGTGTTGACACCGGCACTCACTACATCTGAGGCAGGAACAGGCAGAAATCACAGAACCACAGACTGGTCTGGGTTGGAAGGGACCTTAAAGCTCATCCCGTTCCAACCCCCCTGCCATCAGCAGGGACACCTTCCACTAGACCAGGTTGCTCAAAGCCTCATCCAACCTGGCCTGGAACACTTCCAGGGAGGAGCAGCCACAGCTTCTCTGGGCAACATGGGCCAGTGTCTCACCACCCTCACAGCAAACAATTTCTTCCTCACATCTCATCTCCATCTCCCCTCTTCCAGTTTCAAGCCATCACCCCTTGTCCTGTCACTCCCTGCCCTTGTCACAAGTCCCTCCCCAGCCTTCCTGGAGCCCCTTCAGGTACTGGAAGGATGCTGGAAGGTCTCCCCAGAGCCTTCTCTTCTCCAGGCTGAACATCCCCAACTCTCTCAGCCTGTCCTCATAGGAGGACAGCCCTCGCATCATCCTCGTGGCCTCCTCTGGACTTGCTCCAGTAGGTCCATGTCCTTCTGATGTTGGAGGACCCTAAATGAACCCCAGCACATGGGGGGACCCAGCTTCAACAGTTGGCTTTGCAGGTTGGCCTCACATACACCCTGGAGATCTCCATGGAAGTGATGTGAGTGCTCCAGACACACAATGACCTCACTGCTAGCATCAGTTGCTGAAAATGGCCTGGGTGGATGTAGTTGTGTCTTGGCAAAAATAATAAAACACAGAATGCAGCCCACAGACTGGCCAGCAGTCCCTAGGACAGAAGCTTGCTGGCTGAATACATGTGTCAGTGTGATCCCATCAAAGACAGAAGAGAGAAAGATTCACCATCTAAACCATGCCCCAGCCTCAGGGCTTCAGAGGAGAAGCCAGTGTTGGACACTTGTAGTTGAATATACTGAAACGTGAAGGCACTGAAATAACCTTCCAGGCAGATATACCTTCTTTCCTATGGTGAAATACTTCCAGGACTGAGCTTGGTAGGTGGGAATGTTCTGGTAGGGCACAAACTTCCCATCAGTCCACTTATAGATGGCCGATCCTGGAGGGTTGTATCGGTTGGCAGTAGCTGCGAACAGTCCCACCTTTGGGATGGTGAAGACCTCAATGCCCATCGTCTCAGAGTTGGTCACCAGGTTCTGGTACTCCTCCACATAGTCCAGCCTTTGTTTGACTAGGAGACCACAAAAAAGAGATGGGGGAGGTTAAAACCAGATGACCCTGCCTGGAGAGGTGCTCCACGTGACATAGAGCTGGCTTGGTGACTCTTGCAGCTTTATGGGGGAAAATGAAGGTTGTGGTGGTGAAGGGTCAAAACCTGAGGGGGTGGGAAAAGGCCTGACTCCGTCTTGTTGAGCAGCACATCCAGCCCCATCCACTCCTGCCTGCTCTCTGGTGGAGGGCAGGGCTGTAAAATGCTCTGCAGTCTCCCATGCCATGGATTTTGGTTGCTGTTTAAGAAGTGGGTTGATATATTTATCCTAAAAAGAATGAGGAGGAGAAAAGGAGATCTACAGCGAAAAGGCCTGGGCTGCTGAGACCAGCTGGGTTAACCCGTACCCACCTGCAGCAGCCCTGCACCAGGTATTTTCTCTGGCTGGAGTCAGGATGAACTCTGGAAGAAGTTAAAGAAGACTTAGACAAAATTAATGCCAAAAATTAGAACGGAAAGGCTAAGAGTGGTCCCAAAGGCAGATGGGTGGGAACTGGAAGGGAGAAACAAAAGGAGAAGGGCTACAAGAAGGGCCAGTGTTGGTGGCACCAAGGAGAGCAGGTCAGCAAGATCCCAGCACGAGGTCTACTTGGGAAAACAAGGACACAGTGCCAATCCTGGTGATTTCCAGAAGTGGGGAAGGATGAGGAGTCCAGCCACTGCTAGCTCCTGTGGGGAGAAAATGGCTCATCCAAACCCCCCAGGTGGGCACCAGCATAAGGAAAACCCCGGGAAAGGGGGAAAGGACAGCTTGGTTGCAGGCATGCCCCATCCTCCACGTCCTCACCAGGGATCCTGGGCAGACTGCCTGGAGTGAGTGGGAGAGTGTCAGCAGGCAAAATCCATTTTGTTATCAAATAGTGTCCATCCCTCCAGGCTCCGGCTAATTTGCTGCCTTACTGCTCTAACGTTGCCCCACTATTTTCTGCATGAAGGCCACCAGCATGGAGACCTGCCTCCACCACCCTCTCATTGCTCCCTCAGGTATCTCTGGCAGCTGATGACTCTCTGCTCCTTCTTCTCCACCCCACAAGTGCTTTTGCATCATGAGCACCTGTGTGGTTGGGACCCCATGGCAGCGAGCACCCCAGCACCCTGGGCATGGCTCTCTGTGGGGCCAGTAGTCCTGCTTGGACAGACCGGGGACTTGTTCCTGACTGGAGATGCCCTAGGAGTGATGGACAACACAGATAACATGTATGGACAATGCGGGCACTGTGTGAGTGACCAGGTAGCTGGTTCACTGAGGTGTTTGAATCCAGAGCCACACTGGAAGTGTTGACATGGTCATGGAGAGCAAAGCCAAGTCTGGCCAGGCAGGGGAGAAGCAGGGGGACACCTCAGCCCCCTTGTTCTGCTGTTGTCTGACTCAGCTCCTATCCCAAAGTGCTGTCAAGGACAAATCTCTGCTGTAAGAACCTCCCTCCATCCCCAAGAGCGCATTGCGAACCAGTACCTTCCAGCATGGAAATCCAAGTGCTGCCGTTGCAGAGGTACAGCCCTCGTTGGGACGCGTTGAACCATAACTGTGCCTTCTCCTGCTTGGTGCAGGGTGGACGGGAGCCCAGGGTCACCTTCGTGTCGGTCTCTGGGCATGGAGAGGAGCAAGGCAGGAGCCTCTGAGCAAACACGACGCAGGAGCAGTGAGGCTTGTCCCCGTGCACACAGGGAGGGTTGGATGTCCTGGTCCCATCTTGATGACAAGTACCAAGGAATGGGGGAAATGGCATCCTGGCACGGAGCCAGAAAGCCACCAACTGAGAAAACCCTGGGGGCTGGCACCTGTGGGGTAACTGGCATGAGCCCAGCACTGCCAAGGGACCCAGGCAAGGGCACCGTGGCTCTACCGGGGGATTTTGGACAGGGAACCCACCCCACATACATGTTGAGAAACAGAAGGTGCTGGGGACACCCTCTGCTCCTGCTCCGTGCCCAGCCCCACACAAAGACCCTTCCTCAACAAAAGCAGAAGGTGGCCGACCGAGCCCGCGCCGCAGGGACTTACTGACCATAGGGGTATTTTAGCACCTCGTTGCTCGCTGGTTTCACAGGGAGATCCTGGAGGGCAGTGGGGACAGAGAGTGTCGCTATTTTAAAGTTCAGGGTGGTGCATATCCGAGGGGTGGCATCGGCTCCTGGCAGCAGGACAAGCTGTCTCAGCAAGCCCTGGGAAAGTGGAAGCAGCAGGATGGAGAGCAAGTCCAGCAAGACCAAGACATGGAAAGTACAGGTGATTCATATCCTGTATTTCCCTCCTAACTCTTGCTTGTTGCCCTCCCTCCTGGGCCATGGAAGTCTCCATGGGATTCCAGATTGCCATCCAGAGGGACCTTGACAGGCTTGAGAGGTGGGTCTGAGCAAACCTCATGAAGTTCAACAAGGCCAAATGCAAGGTCCTGCATCTGGGTCAGGGCAACCCCAAGCACAGATACACGCTGGCTGGAGAATGGATGGAGAGCAGCCCTGAGGAGAAGGACTTGGGGTGCTGGGGGACAAGAAGCTCAACATGAGCCGGCAATGTGCGCTCACAGCCCAGAGGCAAATAACCGTGTCCTGGGCTGCATCCAGAGCAGCGTGGGCAGCAGGTCGAGGGAGGGGATTCCATTCGATGACTCTATGATTCACGCATGTTTGTCAGATCCTTGTGACATGCCCAGTCTGCCAAAATCTCCATCTTGGGTGATCTCACAGCTGGTGCAAGGGGAGCATTGGCAAGGGGCTCGTTAGCTGCAGACGGCTTTCACCTCCTCAGCTTTTCACTGCTAGTCAGGATCAGGCCCTGCCCTAACTTTTATATCAACCATCAACTGTCTTACTGCCACCACACTGCTGACAACGTCCTCTTAAAAACACATTTTGTCTCACAAAGTGCCAGTTGCCAGCACTGCCCCTTGCATGCCCACAGCCGGATGGAGACCAAGTCCAGCAGTGGGACCCCTGGCCACCACCACTGCCTGCACTGTGGTCCAAGCCCAATCAGTGTATGGGGCTGAGAGGGGGTTACAGCTTGCCCCACAGCCAGCTACAAGTGCACCAGGCAGCCCCGCACCACGGGGCACCTACCGTGAACAAACCTTTTCTTCTCCTCCTGTTGCCCAGGTAGAAGCTGGCTCTCTTCACTGACAGAGAGGTTGGAAATGGTGTCTCCACCACCCTGTGGATGGGCAGAGAAGAGGCGGGGGACAATTTCATGGCATCTGCTGGTGGCTGGAAGACATGTGGTAGAGGCATATCATCCTGCCAGCCCTCCAGAGCCCACCACTGCTGTCCCCAACCTACACATCTGTGGGGGTGCTGCAGTCCACAGTCAGCGAGAAGGACTGGCCGGAGACAGCCAGGACGAGTGTGTGCCACTGGTTGTCGGAGAGGGAGACGTTGGGGAAGGTGACGCAGGTCTGCCAGCCACCGGCACGCTCCTGGCTCCAGAAGAGGAAGTGGAGCTTGTCGGGGGCATAGCGCAGCCCCACCAGCACACCGGGGCTCTCCTCCGCCATCAGCGTGAAGACGTACTCGTTCCTCTGCAGGAGGGCATGGACTCAAATCTACACTCTGCAAGCCGTGGGGTCGGGCTGTGCCAGCTCTGTGCCCAGTTGCCAGCGCTTACCTTGGTGGGGACGCTGAGGACCCTCAGTGTGACAATGATGGAGAACTCCTCGGGGAAGTGGTCGCAGTGGATGAAGAGGCGGGAGGCAGGGAAGCCCAGGGCGCGGGGCCGGGAGGCAGCAAGCTGGAAACCGCGCACCCCCTGCACTTGAAAGACCCTCATGCCACGGGCCAGCCCGCTGTGGGGGACCACCTCCGAGAGGATGTCCAGCGGGCGCAGGTCTGTGCCAAGACACAGCAGAGCACATCATGATGGCAGCAGCCATCCCACCCTGCTCCATGGTGGGTCAGGGTCCCCAACTCACTGCAGGGTGCTCTGCTGCCCAAGGTAGCTGGCCCATCTCCAGCACTGGCTGGAGCGCTCCATGGCAGTGTGAGGGTCCAGCATCCCCCATAGCCTGCTGTCTCCTGCCCAGGGTCCACACTGAACCGCCACAGGGAAGGTCTGCCCTCCAGAAGCTGAGGTTGACCTCTCCATCTCCACAACAGGGGTGCCAAGCACTAAGTGTGTGGGCTCATCCACATGAACCATCCCAAGGATGCAGTTCCGAGTGCTGATCATGGGGTTGGGACCCACCAGCCAAGCAGCCCTAGGTTGCCACCAGCTTCCTTGGGATGCACCAGTAACCAGAGCCAAGAGGGCTTGTGGGGATCTGGCACCCACAGGCTTGCTCGCAGGGTACCCACCTCCCTGTCCCTGGGATGGTGGGGCACCACACTCCTCTCCGTTCCCAGGCCAGGCTCTCCTAACCCAGCCCTAATCGCACACACACACACATACTCCCCTGGCAGGCACCAAAATTGCTCATTAATTAATTATCCTCTCCCCAGAGGAGAAAATGCTGTGCCCAGGTGAAGAACAGCCCTGTGCACCAGCACTGCAAAGCCACCCCCACCCAACGGCACCAGGGTCACCATCAGTCCCACGTCTCGGCACACTGCATGCCCGTGGGAAGGGCTGTACCCGTGGCAGGCGCTTCTCTGACCTTCCCCACCTTGGTACCCTCCCAGTTTTTCTTTTGGAATGCTTCCCTGGCAGGACTGAAGGGCAGAGGAGCTCGGTGGTGATGCCCAGAGGATGAAGCATCACTTGGCTGGACTAAAACATCCCTGACTCCATCCTGTCCCAGTGAGCCTCGGTTTTTAGCTCCTATTTGTACTAATAAATCTCAGCTGCCGGGGCACAGCGGGAGAGCCCGGCAGGAGGGGGCTGTGAGAGGCTGTACTGGTGGGTGTTGGAATTCAAACCAGTTGGAGAAGGGAAGTGTTTCCCCCTCCCAGCATCACCAGCCAGCCCAAGTCCAGAAGAGCAGATCCAGGAGGAATCTGCTTGTGTGGCTCCATCTAGCCTGGAGCAGGGTGACCAGCAAGGTTCTTCCCACCCTGCCAGCTCTGTGTCCCCCCTGCCCACCCCTCCACTGGCTTAAGCTGCTCCTAAAGCAGAGCCTTAGTACGGGAGGATTAACTGAAACCACTTATTTCAGAGATGCACAACTCTGGGATCTGGATTCCCAAAAATGGGAATGACCAGCTCCCATTTTTCTCAGCAAAAAAGCACAAGATGAATTCCAGCTCGGATTTGCAGAGGGGTTTAGGAGCCCCCAGGTGCCCTGGGGGGGTTGGGGTGAGCCAAGAGACAATGCAGCCAGGACCGGAGGCTGTGCTGGCAGTTGTGGGATGGGAAAGGACCAAGTCTCAAAATCAAACCCTAAAACCAAAGATGCGTGTCCCCAATCTGCCTCCCACATCAATCACTGCTAAGGACCAGTGGTGGGGACAGTCAGATGGTGACAGGATTTCACCAGGAGTCAGGGCCAAGTGCCAGTTGGAGGGACATGAGGGCAGTTAAACATGCTAGTGCTGCGTCCTCGACACCCCTGGAGAGACCAGAGCATCTAGACAAGGAGGTGGTGGGTGGAAAATCTCCAGTCTCTCCCAGCTTTCGTTCTCACCACCACTTGGGCTATGATAAAATATAAATACAGGCACCATCAAAGT